ACGCCCCCAAGACTGCCACAAGAGGGCCCCAAACCCAAGAGGCCTCCAAGACGCTTTAGATGGCCTACAAGACGGCCCCGAAGCGCCCCAAGAGGGCCCCAAGTCGTTTCAGAGAGGCCCCCAAGACGGCCCCCGACGGCGACAGACGGGCCAGGAACGCCATAAGACGGCAAAATAAGCCCCCGAGAAGCCCCAAAAGGATCCCAAGAGGCCCTCAAGAGGCCCCAAGAGAGCCCAAGGTAGCCCCAACATGGTCTCCAAGACGGTCCCAAGATGGTCCAATCGAGCCCAAGAGTGCCTGAAGAGGCTCCGAAGAGGCAAACCCCTTCTCCTTTTTCCTCCTTCTCCTCCTCCTCCTCCTCCTCCTCCTTCTCCTCCTCCTCCTCCTCTTCCCCTTCCTCCCCCCCGCGTTCCCCGAAACCTTTCCAAACGGACTCGGGGAAAACATGATCCGATGGCTTGGCCAAGCTCTAGCCCAGCTGTCGGACACACACAGGCGCTTCCACAAAGGCAGGGGGCGGCGGTGATTCGCCGTAGGCGTCTTCGATACGCACTCCTTAATTGCACTTCGGGCTTCGTGCTCCTTTTCTAAAAACACTGGGCCTGTTTGTCGGTCTGGCGGTGGCCGCCGTCGCCGCCCCTTCACCCCCTTGTCGCTGCCCGTCGTCGGGGCCGGTCTGTCGGCCTGTTTGCTATGTGGGCGCCGCCGACGCTTCGTGGCCGCCCTATATTGAACAACGTATACAGTCGGGGCGTTGACCTAAGGAACCCTAAATAAGGAACGAGGCCCCTTGCTCCCATAAGTTAAGTTTTGATTTGCCATGGAAAACAAAAAGATTATCCCGGCAAAGCAACCTAACAGCGATGTGTAGGAGCATATCTGGAAGCATTCCCCTTAAGATTCAGATAAGAATCCTGTTGTAGAATTCTGCTGTTCTCGCAGTCGTGGTCGCATTCGCGATGGCAGTCGCAGTGGCAACAGCAGTCGCAGTCACAGCCTCAGCCTCAGCCTGCCTCAGCCTCAGCCTCAGCCTGCCTCAGCCTCAGCCTGCCTCAGCCTCGCCCTCAGCCTGCTTCAGCCTCAACATCAGTCTGCCTTCAGCCTCGGCCTCAGCCTGCCTCAGCCTCACCCTCAGCCTGCATCAGCCTCAGCCTGCCTCAGCCTCGCCCTCAGCCTGCTTCAGCCTCAACATCAGTCTGCCTTCAGCCTCGGCCTCAGCCTGCCTCAGCCTCAGCCTGCATCAGCCTCAGCCTCAGCCTCAGCCTGCCTCAGCATCAGCCTGCCTCAGCCTCAGCCTCAGCAGCCTCAGCCTCAGCCTGCTTCAGCCTCAGCCTCAGTCTGCCTTCAGCCTCGGCCTCAGCCTCAGCCTGCCTCAGCCTCAGCCTGCATCAGCCTCAGCCTCAGCCTCAGCCTGCCTCAGCCTCAGCCTGCCTCAGCCTGCCTCAGCCTGCCTCAGCCTCAGCCTCAGCCTGCTTCAGCCTCAGCCTCAGCCTCAGCCTCAGCCTGCCTCAGCCTCAGCCTCAGCCTCAGCCTGCCTCAGCATCAGCCTGCCTCAGCCTCAGCCTCAGCCTGCCTCAGCCTCAGCCTCAGCTGCTTCAGCCTCAGCCTCAGCCTCAGCCTCAGCCTGCCTCAGCCTCAGCCTCAGCCTGCTTCAGCCTCAGCCTCAGTCTGCCTTCAGCCTCGGCCTCAGCCTCAGCCTGCCTCAGCCTCAGCCTGCATCAGCCTCAGCCTCAGCCTCAGCCTGCCTCAGCATCAGCCTGCCTCAGCCTCAGCCTCAGCCTGCCTCAGCCTCAGCCTCAGCCTGCTTCAGCCTCAGCCTCAGTCTGCCTTCAGCCTCGTCCTCAGCTTCAGTCTGCCTTCAGCCTCAGCCTGCCTCAGCCTCAGCATCAGCCTGCCTCAGCATTCAAAGTGTGGCCCGGGAATGGAGTTCTGGGAACTCGAAGAACACGAAGTGGCCTACAGTTGGCTCCGGGCATTCAAAATCATGCCCAGGAATGGAGTTCTGGGAACTCGAACACCACGAAGTGGCCTACAGTTGGCTCCGGGCATTCAAAATCATGCCCAGGAATGGAGTTCTGGGAACTCGAAGACCACGAAGTGGCCTACAGTTGGCTCCGGGCATTCAAAATGTGGCCCGGGAATGGCGTTCTGGGAGGTCAAGGAGCACCAAGTGTGTGACTGTTGCATCCGGTTATTCAGAATGTGGCCTGGGAATGGGGTTCTGAGAGGTCGACGAGCACGAAGTGTGTGACTGTTGGTGAAAAACGAGCCCGGCACAGGCCCGGCCGGCAACTCCCAACGCCTGCCCGGACCCCCCTGTGGAGTGATCTGTGAGCTCTTTTGAGTCAACTAGAAACCTATCAGTCTTCGCTGTTAGGTAAAAACCCAACACAAAATGTACAACAATCATGGAACATCCAGCCCCTCCCCAACGAAAAGGGTTTCTTCTTCAGCGCCCCGACTGTATTGCGTCACATGAATTGCAAAACGAAGATTGCACCGCATAGGTTGAACTATGCAGGTTGCACCACGCACTTTGCAAGGCGTAGGCTCGCTTCACGATAGGAGCTTAGACTCGAGGGAGAGAAATGGGGAGATCACCTGTGGGAGCCTCCAGGAGCTCCTGGAGGCCTCCAAGGACCTCCGGAGACGCCCCTCGAGGAGTCTCGGCCGCTCGGCTGTTGAGGAGCGTCGCGCCAGCGTCTTCCCTCCGGTGCTGGCTCCGGCTAGGGCGCGGGGACGCGTCCCGGTCCACTCTCCTCCGAGGTGCCCTGCCTGGTCCTCGCGGCCTCCGTGCTAGCCATCGGCGCTACACTCGCATTCCGAATGTGGAGGCCTCCCACATGGGGGCGAAGCGAGTGGAGTCAGAGGTCGCCCCGTCGTGATGGAGAAGATCGGCGCGATCCTCCGGCCCCCACTCTGGCCTGGCCCCGTGTGGGAGGTAAGGAGAACTATCCAACCCAGTACCCCCCCCAGGCTCCATGGACAGCTTGCGCGCCGCCTCGACCCTCTCCTTCTTGAGCCTGGCCTCCATCTCCTCTGGCGTCTCGTCCTTTGGGGGCGGCTTGTTCTTGTCGGGGCTGGGGGTCCTGCGGCCAGGCGAGGTGTGGAGAGCGCTGGCGATGAGGGCGAGGAGCGGGAGAAGGACAGGGAGGGGATGTCCTCTCGCTGCGCCAGAGCACCGCCGAAGGCTTTGGGCCATCTTCGGCCCCCGGGGGCCCTTGCCGGGGTCGTCGAGCAACGGCTCGGGGCGGGCAGCCGGCTCCCAGGGAAGCGGTCCAGACCCCGGGGGGGTCCACGCTGGTGGAATTCCCAGCACGGTGCCACGGCCCCCCCTCAACATGCCACCTGCTGCTCACCAGTGATCTCGAGTATGTTCAAGTGAGCATCTGCGTCATATGTCAGCGCGATGCTCTTTCAGCTTTTGCACATGCCGCAAGATCACCGAGGCGTCTCCTCACACGAGGGCCGCGTCAACACTGGAGTGGCTGACGCTCCCGCGAAGAACGTTGTTCTCAGGGTCCTGGGTGGTGCGTTTTGCCGTTTTTCTGGTCTGCGGGGGGGGGGGGGGGGGGGGGGGGGGGCGTCGAGGTGTGGTCCTGGCAGGGCCCTTCTGCGTCACGGATGTATTGTTTTATGTTTCTCGTTGTTCTTGCCTTTCTTGTTTTATTGTTTGTATGTTTCTTGGTTTCCCTTTCTCCCCCTCTTACCCTGAGCTGAAAGTGTAGCAGTTCGTGCTGAAGCGAAAGCAACCTTCGGGTCCTGGGATTGTCCTGGCGGGGCTTCTAGCGGGATTCTAGAATTCGACGTTCTCGCATGGAGTCTGGGCAAACTCCCGGTGTGGTCCCCGCGGAGTCCTGGGAGGGCTCCGAGCCGAGAGAGTTACCCCCGCCGAGGCGATAGCTTCACTCAACGACGGGAATGTGGCCAACGTCAGTTTGTCATGCTACCAGAACTTGCCGTCGCTCGAACGTCCATTTCCAGTGTATTTTTCGGTTTCGTGCGTGTTTTCTTTGCTCGATGGTCAAGGTTGGACCTCGATGGTTCTCGCCGAGAAAAAATGCACACGTCCGAGCGATGCCGAGAGAAGGAACGCCGACTGAGCGATGGGGGGGCTGTTCTGGCCACGCCGAACTTCTGCCACGGGCAGGTCCCCGACCTGGATCCGAGGAGCGATCCGGAAGCCAGAGCGCCTCCCAAGCCCAGAGGGGTCCTTCTTTCTGCAGCTTCCCTGTATAAGAGAACGAGAGAGAGAGAGAGAGAGAGAGAGAGAGAACGAGAGAAAGAGAGAAAGAGGGAAAGAGAGAGAGAGAGAGAGAGAGAAAGCGAGCGCACCACTCCGAAATATTGGTTGTGCGCGGCAACCGCGCAGCAATCCATGACGTGAGCTGGTGACCTCCCATCGAAAGGGTTATTTGGCGAGACAACATGGATGTCCACTAAACTCCTCTCGCAGAGCGCCGCTGTACATGTCAAGCTATGCAATCAGCGTGGTAATCTGGAGGAACCTCCAAACGTTTGAGCCATTACATGGACACGTGTGAGTCAGACGGGTAGCCAACGCTATGCAGTTCTTCGAGAACTAGTCGTGCCCCAACGTGAACCCATCGGCAACAACTGCTGCCACTTTGCAACATGTATCCATAGCGGGCGTCGCTCTGCACACAACTGAGGACGGCCGCAGCACACACATACACATGCTGGGACAAAGTGCCTACTCACGAGACGCCACACCTTCACGAACAGCATGCACCTAACGACATGCCTGAACTCACGAACGTCGCGAAACAACCCTCTTGCCCGGAAGTCCTTGCTCTGCCGGAGGCGCACTTCTGGTAGAACTCGAGCCACTGGCCCCAGTGCTCGTTGGTCTGCCCAGAACCCCACTTGAAAAGGATCATGTGGAAAGTCGAGGCTGGGAGGAAACATCGGACGGGGAAGTAGAGGAGAGGATTTGTAAAGCAATCTGGTCTCCGTGTTTCATTGACTCTGAGGTCTTCTACATCTCCCTTGCAGACGCCAGCGTGAATTCTATCTGGGGCTCAACGAGCTCCTCCACCCTGCGCAGGGTCAGCATCTCTGCCTCCTCCACCGCCTACAACTCATCCACTTGTCTGACCTCGGGTGCTGCTGCTGCGGCTGCTGCTCCTCCTCCTCCTCCTCTTCATTATCGTCCTCCGTATCACCCCCCTCCGCCGACACCTTTCTTGGACTACTCCTGTTCCTGCTCCCCCTTGCTCGCCGGGTTTCCATTCTTCCTCGCGTCCTGCAGAGGTTACCCTGCACACCGAAACGCACCCGCACGCATGTTCAGCGTCCACCGCTCCCGCCATGGTGCATCTAGTCACCAGGATGGTTCATCAAATCGCCTGGCCAGCCGCTGGAAAAGAGAAAGGAGGGGCCCGAGCAGGAGCAGAGGATGTCTTTCGGAGCTCCTCGCAGACTTCCAAGGTATTTCTCTGCACATGCTTACGCGTGCCCTCCCCGGTCGAACGCTCGCGGCTTGCACACAGGAGGCGCTCCTCGCCGTCGCCGTCCTTCCGGACCTGATCCTCCTCTGATTGCCCCGGCTCCCGCCGTCCTTCAGAGTCCGGGAGCTACCGACGATGACGATGCCCTTCCGCGCCCGAGTGAGCATCACGTTCAAGCGGCGCCAGTCGGCGAGGAAACCGACCGTGCCAGTCCTGCCGGCAAGCGTCGCCAAGTAGAGCCGCTCGCCCAGAGGAGGACGAAGAGCGTGAGGAGGGGGAGGAGGAGGAGGAGGAGGAGGAGGAGGAGGAGGAGGAGGAGGAGAAGGACGGGGAGGAGGAGGAGAAGGAGGAGGAGGAGGAGGAGGAGGAGGAGGAGGAGGAGGAGGAGCTGAAGTCGGCTTTGCACGCAGCCTCCGATCTGCGCATTCCTGCTGCTGCTCCTCCTAATAATCTTCCTCCCCCTCGTGACCAGCCTCATTCCTATTACAGAGCTCTTCCCCGTCCGCTTGCCCTCGTCCACCTCCTCCTCGCACTTCTCGTCCTCGTCCTTTTGATCGCTCTCATCCAGCTCATCCTTATCCTCCTCCTCCTCGTCGCCCTCACCTTCTGCCCGTTCCTGTTGCACCTCACGGCCGAGAATATGATAAGATCTTTCTCGCGGCCCTGGAAGTTGTCCACCGAGGCGCACTCCAAGAGGTCGGGGTCGAGGTGCTCGGGGACCTGCCGCGCCCACCCCTGCGTTCATGCCCTCTCATCTCCTCCTTTTCCTCCCTCGTCACTGTTCCGTTCTGCTAGGATTCGGCGGCGCGCCCAGGGGGAGTCAAAGGGGGCGGGTCTTCTCAGAAGGGTCAGCAAGCCTCGGGCCCTCTGAGACGCTTGCTGAGCCTTTTTCCGAAGCTGCAGATGTCGCCGCGCCTGTTGATCTCGACGCGCCCAAATGAACGACGCTGACACCACGGCAAATCCGCGGCAAGCCCTGCGTCCCGCGCCCCAGGCACACCAGGCCGCCACGCGGCAAACCTCACGGCGAACCCACCCGCCGCGCCCGAGGCGGCGTTTGCCCTGGTGGCCGAGGCGCCCTTCTTCGAGACGGAAGGCCGCGCGTCGGAACAAACGGCGCGGCGACAGATGGTTTATCAGAAGGCCCAGAGGACTTCTGAGACGCCCCGCCGTCTTCTGAGAAGGCATGCCCACTCTCGTTTCCCCACCGCGGTGCGCCGCCGAAGTATGACGACCCCATTCGGAGGGTCCGATCCCAAGAAAGAGCGCGCGGGCAACATGATCATCAGCCAGCTGCGGAAGCACGCGCTGGACACATTCATCGCCCGAAGTTCTGCGCTCGATCCATCCAACACATTTCGAAGAAGGACAGGTCTCCGTAGCATGCTATGCCAGGGGTTCCATCACAGAGCTTTGCATGTTGCTTTGCATCGCACGAGTCTTCTGTCATTGTGCTGCTCTTGCTGATGCCTAGGCCAGGCGAGACATTGGCAATGCATTGCGCTCCCATTGTCTCTCTTAGTGTAGGCATCGGCCTCTATCCGTGGACCTGCCATGAGACTTCAAGATAACGGTAAAGGAAGCCCTGTCCGTCTTGACTACTTGGTGATGATTTCGTGGCAAGCGGTCGTGGAGACGTGCATGGTTGGAATCTTCGACATGTCGTACAACACAACAGTCAACCTGCATCACAATAATCGCACAGTGCTCTCATTCAACACAAGCGACACAATCGTCGTACGGGCGCTGAAGCGGAATCTTGGACAGCGTGGCCTCACAAATGTGACGCCCTCGTGTAGTGCACGCTGCCCCAAGGAGCACTGTCGTGGGCGCTGCAGGGAAGCAGCCTGGACCAATCGCATGTGATACCTGTAACGAAGCGCCGAGCAGCGCCGAGATGAGCAACAAAGAGCCGCGTAGCACCGTGATGTTGCCGCGATGGAACCAAGATAGACTGCGTGGCGCCGCGAACCTGGATGTCATCCATGCCGGAAACGGAATCCCGTACCTGGGCGGTGCTGGCTCGACGCACCTCGGCTACCCGGATCGCTGCGCCCGCACCGGCTGTGAGGCATGGGGACCCAGCTGTTGCTCCCCCCTCTGCGGGGAGCGCAGAGTCGATCGCCGGTGCTGCGCCGAATAACGGTGTACCATGGGGAACGCAGAATAACGAAACGAAGAAGCTTCCCCGTCCACGGCGAGCCCGGTGCACGAACAGGTTCCGCGGCCCAGATCCAAGGAGCGTCCCGAAAACATGAGCCCCATCCTGAGCTCAAGTGGGCTATATGTTAGCGCTTTGACCGTATAATCAGTGCCTGCGTAGCTCGCGTGATGAAGGCGCAATCGGCTTGGACCTTCTGCTGCCATTGCAGCAGAGTCTTGGCGTCTCTCTACAAGCAATCCGTATCGCGCCTTGCAATTTCAGCATGGCGGCCACAAGCGCATCTTGGTCGGCGTTCTGGACTGCATCGCGATGCACACCACCTGCTGCTCGACGATGGGCTGCGTGGCCTGCTTCGTGCCGCCTGGGTGCACAAGCTCGGGCGGCAAGGCTGCCGGAGTCGATCGTAGTCCCCCCACCCTGGCGCTGCCGCTGGCGCCCCCAATAATGAAGACTTGCTGCGGCTGCAGCGCGCGCCAGTACAGCGAATTCGTGAACGTGACGACTTCGGCGTTGGTTTCTGACACCGTGTGGATTGTTCAACCTTGAACGGTCGCGGCTTTCCGAAGGCGCAAACCCTTCGAGGTCGGCCGATTCTGGGCTTCTGGCGGCGCCCAACCTTCAACGCCCGCGCCGGGATCGCCGCGGCGCTCACATTACACGGACCTGCCGTGCGCTTGCAGCCTGTTCAGCATGCGCTTTCAAGCCATTCCGAAGACGTGCGCCACAGGCGCTGGCGCAGCTCCTGGGCCGCGCTTTTCCTGGGCTCGCGCGCAGCTCCCGGGCAACTCCCACTCTTAGAAATATGCGTTCTTCTGGCGACAGCACGACCAAGCATGGCCGCAAGGATTGCTTCAAAGCTTGATTTCGTTCAGAAAAAACCGGCGCACCTCCCAGGGCAGGTCCTCGCGGACTCTCCAGGGCAACGCTCCCCAGAGGTGCTGCTCGTACTTCTCTTTTTTTTGATCCGCGGGTCGAGAGCGAGCCTCTTCCAGTCGAAGCTAAGCGGGCCGCCCACGGCTTTAATTAATAGAGGACGGAAGCAAGAAGGCGGGGCCTCACGTCAAGGCCAGGAGAGGGAACTGCTGCTCGCACACGCCGCAACCTCTGCGGAAAAGGCCGTGGGCGGAGTGCCGTGTGCGCTCCGCCGTGCGCGCCGTGATGCCGCGGCGGCGGCAGTAGGTCGAGCCCTTGTCCGCTCTCGCGGCGGTGCCCCTCTGGCGCCGCGAGGGGCACCTCCCGGGAACCGCGGAGGGGGAGAGGTCCTCCTCCTCCTCCTCCTCCTCCTCCCTCCTCCTCCTCCTCCTCCTTCTCCTCCACTTCCTCCTCCTCCTCCCCCTCCCCGTGGCTGTCCGGCCAGCCAAGTGGGACGGCAAGGAGCAGCGGCGCCGAGGAGAAGGGCATTTCGTGTGCGGTGCTGTCGGAACACCGTTCAGGTTGAACCCTGATGGGGCGGGAAGGTCCGTGGAAGCCAGACGTCGACCTCCTCGCGCAGACGAGCCACTCGGAGTGCCGCGTGGCGCGGTGGCCTGAAACAGAATGGCCTGGGTCCGCCCGTCACCGCCGCCCGTCAAGGCTCACGCGCGCCCATGATGCATCATACGCTAATGCGCCGCCGCCGCCGCGCCGCCGCACGTTAGGGTCCGCCCGCCCGCCCGCCGCCGCCGTTCGTTAGGGTTCCCGCGTGCCTACTCGATGATGCACCATACAGTAATGTCCCGCCGCCGCCGCGCGTTAGCGTCCGCCCGCCGCCGCCGCCCGTTCAGGTTCCCGCGTGCGTACTCGATGATGCACCATACTTGAATATCCCGCCGCCTCCGCCCGTTAGGGCCCGCCCGCCGCCGCCGTTCGTTAGGGTTCACGCGTGCTCGCTCGAGCACGACGTCGACGACGGCGACGGCGGCAGCGGCGACGCCGGAGACGACGATGGCGTCGGCGCAAGGAGCGCCGGCGAAAGGAGCCCCAGCGAAACGAGCCCCAGCGAAAGGAGCCCCGGCGAACCGAGCCCCGGCGAACCGAGTCGGGAGAGCCACCGAGCCCCCGCGAAGCGAGTCCTGGCGAAGCGAGCTGGGCGAACCAAGAACCCAGCGAGCCGAGCACCCAGCGAGCCGAGCCCCGGCGAAGCGAGACTCCGGCGAACCGGTTCCGGAAGGAGGAGGAGGCGAAAGAATCGAGACGACGGTTTTTCGCAGGTTTTGGCCTCTCGGGGCCGCCGCCGGGCCTCGGGACCGTCAAAAAACGACGCGGGATGAAAAACCGGTCCCGCGGAAGTGGTCGGGAGGTCGGGGGCCTGCGTCTCGTCAAAACCGAGACGTTGGATGTCTCTAGGGAGGACGAGGGGGAGGAGGAGGAGGAGGAAGAGGAGGAGGAGGATGAGAAGGAGGAGGAGGAGGAGGAGGAGGAGGAGGAGACGAGGGAGGAGGGGCACCGGGGTGTTACCGGTACCCCAGGGTTCCCGGATTCACTTCCGAGCCCAGTCGGCGTCCGAGCCCATGCGGCCGCCCAGCGGAGTCACGATCGAGCCCACGCGGCGGCCGTGCGGGCTCCATTCCTGCGGCCGCGCCGCAACGGACCCCGTTCGTCTGCTCACCCGGCGGCCGAACGGGCTCAGACGCCGAACGGGCTCAGAAGGGCACCGTGGAGTGGGATTAGGAGAAGGCGGGGAGGAAGGAGGGGATCGGAGGGGAAGTAAGCGAGGATGGAGCACAAGAGGAGCGGAGGAACGATCGATGAGCAGGCAGGAAGCAGAAGACTAGCAGGAGGGGGAGGAGGACGGATGAACGACAGAGCGGGAAGATGAGGCATGAGAGAGGAGGCACGAGGAGGGGAAAGGAGGGAGGGAATACGAATCATAGATTTCGAATAAGAATACTATTAATAAGACTCTTTATAATATTCATAATCGTAATCAATGGTGATAGTGCTAAGAAGAAGGAACATGAGGAGCAGGAGGGAAGCCATCTACATCTTACCGCTCCTCCTGCCTGCCTGCATGCAGCTGTTTGAAGGCGCGTGTCCGCCTCAAGCCATGCACTCTTCTGACTGCCCAACTCACTGCGCGTCAAGACTGGGGGGAAGAGAGGAATGAGATTGATGAAGAAAATTGAGAAGGAGTAGGGGGAAGAAAATGAAGAGACGGAAGACGAGGATAAGGAGCTGGAGCGGAGGAAAAGGAGGAGGAAGATAAAGACGATGCGAGGACGACCATGCGGAAAAGGATGAGGATGAGGAGGGATGGAAAGGAAGCTTTCACACATCCTGGAACTGCTGCAATTGATGATATCTTCCCTCAAGCCCCAGCCCCTGCAGACTATGTTCCTCAGCATGCGCTTGAGCATGCGCACCTGCAGTGAGAAGGACTCGGTCGGAGGGGGGGGCTCTGCATGGCTTTCGTGCTGTGCTGTTCGAAAGGCGCTCGCTGTAGCACGTCTGAACTTGTGGGTGAGATCGACATGAAACGGAGGGCTCATAAACTGGAAGTCGGTACCGGAGTTGATTCGTGTCGTGTATGCGGGTGAGGTGGAGCTGGCAGCTGTCCTGTGGTTGTCCTGTGCGGCTTTTCCGTGGTGGGCTATGGGTAGACGGATCAGAGAAAATTGTAATGCTAGGGGTCGTGAGATGGCCTAGGTTGTCCCATGGTTACCTCGTGCGGTTGTCCTATGGCTTTCCCTTGCTATTTCCCCACATCCTAAATGAGGTTCTGATTTCTCCGGACACCCCGCGCAGGAACAGGAACCCACCAACTTCGTCGTCATCATCATCATCAGCATCATCATCACCATCATCGTCGTCATCATCGTAATCAACATCACCATCATGATCCTCATCACTACCATCACCCCCACCATCACCATCATCATCATCATCATCATCATCATCAGCAGCAGCATCATCATCATCATAATCAGCATCGTCAGTATCATCATCAGCATCATCATCGTCATCATAATCATCATCGCCATCGTCATCATCAACATCATCATCATCGTCGTTGTCGTCATCATCATGGTTACCCACATCTCAAGTGGGGTTCTTGTCTTCTCTGCACACTCCCGCGCAGGAACTTCTCCTCTCCCTCTTCTTCACCATACCCATCGTGCTCACTCACTTACTCACTCACACACTCATCTCCATCATCGTTGTCATCATCACTCACACACTCACACAATCATCACGATCATGATCACGATGGTCTGGGTGCCTCGTTCCTGAGTGAGGAAGTCTCAATCTGGAGCCTCGTCTGTGAGTGAGTTGTCAGGAAGTCTCAGGCGAGAGCCTCTTCCCCATGGGGCCCGCAGCCGATGTTGTTAATCAGAGCGGGTCGTCGTTAGACCTGCAATTGTCGTCACTTGTGGGCTCCCCAGGCCTGAACATGGAGGGAGCATCAGGCGGGAGCCTCGTCCATGAGTGAATCGCGGGGAGGCCTCAGGCGGGAACCTCCTCCCTATGGGGCCCGCATTTTTTTTTTTTTTTTTTTTTTTTTGGTTTTTTTTTTTTAAAAAAAAATGTGAGCGGGTCATCCTCAAACCTGTAACCGTCGTCACTTGTGGGCTCCCCAGGCCTGCATATGGAGGGTGTATTAGGCGGGAGCCTCGTCCATGAGTGAAGTGCGAGGAAGCCTCAGGCGGGAGCCTCCTCCCTATGGGGCCCGCAGCTCAAATTGCAATTCCGAGCGGGTCGTCCTTAGACCTGCAACTGTCGTCACCTGTGGGCTCCCCACGCCCGTACATGGAGGGGGTATCAGGCGGGAACCTCGTCCATGAGCGAAGTGCGAGGAAGCCTCATGCGGGAGCCTCCTCCCTATGGGGCCCGCAGCCCATGCTGTTAATGCGACGGGGCCATCCTCAAACCTTTAACCGTCGTCACTTTTGGGCTCCTCGGGCCTGCATCTGGAGGGGGTCTCAAGCGGGAGCCTCGTCTATGCTCTATGCATGACCCTGGAGCTCTAAATTTGCAATAGCTTCGCGGATTGACGGCGGGTGGTTTTCAAAATATGGCCCTCGCATTCGCGTTGCGCCTATTCGTCCTAAAAGTTTGCAACAGTTTCGCGGATGGAGGGCGGGTGGTTTTCAATCCGTGGCTCCCTCCTTAGCGCCGCGCGCATTCGTCTTCACGCTTTGCAGCAACTTCACGTCGGAAGACGTGCCGTCTTCAACATGCGGCTCCCACTTTTGCGCCGCGCACGCCCGCCCTGAAACATTGCAACAGTTTCAAGGATGAAAGGCGGGTCGTGGTCAACATGTGGCTCCCCCCATTTGCGCAGCGCAACCCCCTTTCAAATATTCACAGTCGGCTCGCAGATAGAGGGCGATTGGTGTTCAAGATAATGATTTCGCCTAGCATGCGCGCATTTTTTAAAGAGCAAAACAAACCATTGCAACACCTTCAAGGATGGATAAGGGTTCGTTCTTAAAGAGTGACTCTCGCGTTAACGCAGTACGCATGCGCCTTGTAAACTTGCAACATCTTCAGATAGTTGTTCGGTCGAAGTCGCAATACTGAATTTCTGGCGCGATTTAGGATTGTCAAGACAAAACGATCACATTATTTCTCGGTGAGCACATTCCAAGGAATGGTGGTCGGGCACAACTTGAGATTGTCAAGGCGCAACGGTCACGTTGATTCGCCGCGCTAAGGTCCCTGGAACCGCGCCTTGGCGCGATTGAAGATTATCAGACGATTGTCCTCTAATGGGCAACATCTCGCAGTGAGAGTACATTCTTTTAGGTGCCCATGGTGAGGGAACTTGGAGGGATGGCGTCTTGCAGTATGATTGCTGCGCCTTGCCTCCCTCCCTCTCTCCCTCCTCCTTCTCCTCCTCCTCCTCTGTCTCTCGCTGTGTCACCGCTCTGCCTGCTCCTCCCTCTTCTTCCTCCTCCCCATGCCTCCTGGTCCACCTCCTTCTCCCGCTTCCTCGCCACCCTGCCTCCTCCTCCTGCTTACTCATCCACCTCCTCCTCCTCCTACTCCATCCGAATCCTTAAACTCCCCATCTTCCTCCTCCTCCTCCTCCTCCTCCTCCTCCTCCTCCTCGTCCCCAGCTGATCATACCCCCATTATGCTCATGCCTCCCCTCCCGCCTTCACCTGCCTCCTGCTCCTGCCTCGTCCCTCCCCCTCCTCTTCCTCCTCCTCCTCCTCCTCATTCTCCTTCTACTCCCCCTCTTCATCCTGCTCCTGCTCCTGCTTCTGCTCCTACTCCTCCTCTCTTCCTCCTGCTCCTGCTCCTGCTCCTCCTCCTCATCCTGTCTTTTCCTCCAGCCTCCTCCTCCACCTCCTCCTCTTCCTCCTCATCATCACCAGCATCATCACCATCACCATCACTACCACCATCACCATGACCACCATCATTATAATCATCGCCAGCATCATCATCCGGCCTCCTCCTGCCTACTCCCCCCATCCCTGCCCTAGCCTTCTCCTCCCCGTCCTGCCTCCTCCTCGTCCCCTTCCTCCTCGAACTCCAGTGCACGGAGCAAATCCGCTCGGGCACCCCAGCGCCGCCCGTCGATGAGCCCAGATCAGGCCGTTGGTCGGAGAACTCATGGGAGGTGGGGGTCCCATGAGAGGCCCCCCCGCTGAAGATTTTCTCGCGACCCACTCCAAGCCGAAACTCCCGCCCTATACGCCCCCCCCCCCATATTCAAACATCGGGAGCCCGAACGTGACGACAATTGCATGTTTTCCGCTGGCCCGTTCGGATTCGTATATGGTGGCGGGGGCCCCACAGGGAGGGGGCTCCCGCGCGAGACGTCCTCGCCATTCGCTCGCAGACGAGGCTCTCGCTCGAGAGATCCTGAGGATGCAATTCGCTCGCAGACGACACCCCCGCTCGAGACACCCTCCATAGTCGGGCATCAAGAGCCCGAACATAATGATACTTGCATGTATTCCGCTGACCCGCTCGACTTTCGAACACGGAGGCGGGGACCCCATAGGGCGGGGCTCCCGCCCGAGACCTCCTCGCTAATTCACTCACAGACGAGACTCTCGCTCGAGAGTTCCTGAGGGTGCACGTCGCTCACAGACGAAACCAGCGCTTGAGGCGCCCCCCACACTCAAGCCTCAGGAACTCGAAAGTGGCGACAATTGCATGCATTCCGCTGGCCCGCTCGGGCTCGAACGTGGAAACGGGGGCCCCATGGGGAGGAGGCTCCCGCTCGAGACTTCCGCGCCATTCACTCACACACGCGGCTCCCGCTCGAGACTTCGTCAAGGTGGCATTCACTCACAGACGAACCTCACGCTCGAGACGTCGTTCATATGTACTTCGCTGAAACTGCTCGGATTCTAACATGTTCGCGGGGACCCCATACGGAGGAGCTTCCGCTCGAGACTTCCAGCGATTCACTCACAGACGGGGCTCCCGCTCGAGACATTCTGCATGCCCAAACCTCAAAGGCTCGATCATGGAGGCAATTGCGGGATCCGCTGATCCGCACGGGTTCGAACATGGAGGCGGGGACCCCATAAGGCAAGAGCTCCCGCTCGAGAATTCCTCGCCATTCGCTCACAGCCGAGGATCCCGCTCGAGAGCTCTTTCATATCCAGGCCTCAAGAACCCCAAACTAAAAACACTTGCAAGTACTCCGCTGACCCGCTCGGATTCGAACACGGAAGTGGGGCTCCGACTGGGAGGGGCTCCCGCTCGAGACTTCCTGGCCGTTCACTCACAGGCGAGGCTCCCGCTCGAGACTTCCTCAACATGAATGTGTGATATGTTAGTGGGCGTGGGAGTGAGTGTGTGAGTGTGTGCGATGCTGATCATGGTGGTGATGATGGTTGTGGTGGTGTTGGTGGTGAAGATTATGATGATGACGACGGCGATGATAGTGATGATGACATTGAAGACGGCGATGATGATGACGACGACGATGCTGATGATGGTGGTGATGATGGTGATGAAGACGGTCACGGCGATGATGATGATGATGATGATGATGGTGATGATGATGATGATGATGCTGATGATGATGATGCTGATGATGATGATGATAATGATGATGATGATGATGATGATGATGATGATGATGCTGATGCTGATGATGCTGATGCTGATGCTGATGATGATGCTGATGATGATGATGATGATGATGATGATGATGATGAGGATGATGACCTCCGTAGCCGCCAATAAGCCCAATTTGCCTCGAATGCTGCCGAAGATGGCTCCCAAATGGCCCAACATGGCCTGGGGACGGCACCAGGGGCCTCCAAGACGGGCTAAGGGTGCTCCAAGAAAGCCTCCAGCAAGGCCCGAAGAGGCCAAACTCGTCGGTTCCTCATGTGTTTTCGAATGGTTTTCGCGTCCTCGCCTTTTCAAGCTTCCGTCGGCTCAAGACGGC